AAAAAACTATCTAAACTAGTCAAAAAAGGCATACTTTGTGAAACAAACTTGAACCTCTTCATATTGCACCTCCTGGCCTGCCCCATGCTCGATCATTTGAACAAGTCGACCGTCTTCCATCCTGATGAGTTGCGGTTCTTGACCATACATTTGCACGGCTCCGCCATGCTGATAAACCACATCTCCATTTTCGTCAACTCCCACACTGCTTGAGTATTGCTGTTCAGGCGGTTCTCCAACACTCATGCCTTTAAATTTTATATTTGAATGTTGAAAATTGATGTGAAATATTGCAAGAAAGCATGATATTAAATTAGCACAGCGTTTGCCATGATTAAATGTAAGCGAAAAAGTGGCGTAATCAGATTGTAAACAATTTCTATAGACAGTATGCCAGTAAACTATCAGCTGGTGCAATAGTATTAGTGCGTCAATGCTTGCGAGTTGAAACAGATGTAGAAATGAGCAAAAGCTGGCTCACAGTATACACTTTCACTTTTGGTTAATTTTTTGCCTTCTGGTAATTTTTGTCAGAATGTGTATTCCAAAAAAACCACCAGTAAACTAAGAAAGGTTCAGTAGAAAGACCTACTTCGCTCCATATGCGGAAAAAAATTCTGATGTGTATCTGTCATAAGTTAGCTGATTTGATGAAATCACTGGCATTCAATTGGCTGGTCCAGCAATACCTTTCAAATCCCTGGTTGTAAGAAGAGGGTAACTGATCGCGAAAGTAACACCTAAGTCGGTGTGAGTTCAACAGCTCCGACTCCATAGATGATAGCGCTCTCTCTCAAACTTGGCTCCAAGTCATGGATAATTCAACAGTGAGTTCATGTACTAGATCATGCTATCATTAGAGAGAGATCTCTACATCGACAGCTAAAAGAGATAAGAGATAAGCTGGTGCGAGACGTAAAGGTTTCCTTTACCTGATATAATGTCTCTGCATCTGCCCTTTACCATTATTCTACCTTTTTATCTACAAGAACACTATAAAAGCTATTCTTTTAAAAATCCAGTAGGCCTATCCATGCATTATGTTACAGAAACTAAAGTTCTCTTTCTGGATAAAGAAGGAAATGAACTGAGAACAAAAA